GATGACAAGGGGTTTCCCAATCCAGAGAAGTTTGACCCAGACCATTTTTTGGATAAAAACGGCAACTTCATGAAATCAGACTACTTTGTGCCTTTTTCCCTTGGTAAGTACAAATAACCCCCCACACCACACACGGACCCTCTGCACCATTTCCAGATCACTGGATTCATTACATCTCATTTGATGATGGCAAGGTCAATCATTTCAAACTCTTATCATCCAAATTGAGATAGAGCCATTTAAGTCTCTCACCAATAAAACCAATCTCACTGCCATGGAGTCAATGCTGACTCTCGGCGACTCTATTGGACAAACTAGAACTGTCCCTGTGGGTTTCTGACAGTGAAACTCTTCACAGGAGTAGAAAACCTCAGCCTTTCCCCACGGCATGACTGCTGACCTCATAACCACTACGCTCCTCTACCCAATGGGATCAGCTGAATTACCCAGGGACTATTCTGTGGTTTGACAATTGAACATAATGACAGTTTAACAAATAACAAGTCAATCCAATGCAGAGGGTATGTATTACCAGATGACAAAGGGACCTGTCACTGCAAACTTTATTGATCTTTTCTTTGCAAAATCGTCTTTCTTACACAAAATAGAGTGGTTAACTGTGATAAGTTTTCTGTTTCTTAGAACTCGAGGCCATGGAGGGGACCTTGGTCACCTCATCTTCCTTCTTTCTCTCTAAACTTCAGAGCCCCACATACCCCCGTGTCTGGACCAGAGCTAAGTAGCTCCCTGTCACTATCGCCATGTCAACCAGTTTATGATTGGTGGCACACAATCCTTCCCCTTGTTATTCTATGCTTCTCATTGATTTCCCCCCCAAAACTAGTAGTTAACCCTCTTGTTTTGAGCTACAGAAATAATAACCATTCAACATAAAATAATGGAAGATGGAGGAGAAAGAGAAAAAAAGTTCTGCCCTCTTACCCTATGGAGATAAACTTTATTTTACTGTATATACTTCAAGTAATTATTCATGTATATAGCAGATGTATATTTTAAAAGAAAATGTAGTCAGTTCTAATCTATTTGATAAAGTGCTTTTACTTAATACATCGTGACTAAACAACTGACTATTGTACTAAATATTCTTTCAGATAAACATTTTTGGGTTGCATTGTATGCTGAATGCGTAATTATTTTTTAATACATCTATGGACGTCAGGCTTCACCTAATTCATTACTATTATACACAATGGATGCAAGTGACATCCTCACACGAATCTCCGTTTCCTGCAGAGAAGTTCTCAGAAGGAGAATCACTGAATGAAGTAGTGTAAGCTTCTTTAGAGGGTTTCAATCGTGATGCCAAATATCTCTCAGGAATAACTTTACCGATTAACTGTCCTCTAGCAGATTTTGAGTTCTGGTTAGTATCTCAATGTGAGCTGATGAGGTGCTTCCTCTTTCCAGGAAAACGAGCTTGTGCTGGAGAAAGCCTGGCCCGCATGGAGCTGTTCCTCTTCCTCACCACCATCCTGCAGAACTTTTCCTTGAAGTCTGTCATTGAGCCAAAGGATCTACCCATCAAACCTATCACTAGTGGGATCATCAATGCCCCACCACCTTTCAAGTTATGCCTCATTCCGAGATAAGAGAAGAATTTTATCTATGAATCATCTGCACTGGAAATCAATTTGTTTCCCTCTAATGGAAATTTACTTCATGTCAATCTCTTCTTTTCAAATGCCACTTAGGCTAGAAACACCATGCACTAAAAAGTTGATGGACATTTATTGAAATCTACAAATCCTTTGACAAAAATGACTGGATTTTGTAAAGTGCAAAGTACACCATGGCTTTTGAAGCCAGCTCCAATTCAATCAGACTAGTCCTATAGTTGGCCTGGATCAGGGGCAATCAACAAATAGTGGAGCCTTTACCATTTCTTGCTAAGGAGCCCTGGTAGCTAGCCCTGTGGATTAGTCATTGGGCTGCTAACCACAATATCGGTGGCTCAAACCCATCAGCGGCTCCACAGGAGACAAATGAGGCTATCTGTTCCCATAAAGATTTACAGCTTTGGAAAGCAGAGCAGTTCTATTGTATCCTATCCAGGATCACTGGGATTCAGAATTGATTCCGTGGGTTGGGTTTCACTATTTTGGTGCTTTTAGATATAATGCTAATTTCTAGTTGGTTGGTTTGTTTTTAAACTAGACATCATTATAAGTTGATCTATGTGTATTTTTCTATTTCCAATTGAAATCACTTTTATGATTTTTGTCACATTTAAAAAATAAAGATTATTCTCAACAAAGATTTTATGGTTGACTTCATTCTAGGGAGAAGACCCCAAAGTCAAATGTATTTTATAGACACCCCTTTATTAAATCTTAAGTAGAAAAAAGGCAAGACAAAGACAAATGATGTAGATGAGGGAGACCATCAGCCTGAAGCCATAATGGTGGCCAAGGGATCAAAACCACATCGCTAATTATAGGACATCGAAAACAAAGGATATTAAGGTAGCAGATGGACATTGGGCCTTCACTCAAGTACTCCCTCAATGCAAGAATACTTTGTTCTATTAAAGTGGCATTCCACGATGCTCACCTTCATGACACGATTGCTGAAGACAAAGTGGGTGCATAAACAAATGTGGTGAAGAAAGCTGGTGGGGTTTGGCTATCAAAAGATATGGCGTCTAGGGTCTTAAAGGCTTGAAGGTAAGCAAGCGGCCATCTAGCTCAGAAGCAACAAAGCCCACATGGAAGAAGCACACCAGCCTGTGTGATCACTAGCTGCCAAAGGGATCAGGTATCAGGCATCAAAGAACAAAAATCATATCATTATCAATGAGGGAGTACGTGGAGTGGGGACCCAAAGCCCATCTGTAGGCAACTGGACATCCCCTTAGAGAAGGGTCGTGGGGAGAGGACGAGCCAGTCAGGGTGCAGTGCAACAATGATGAAACTTACAATTTCCCTCTAGTTCTTTAATGCTTCCTCCCCACCACTATCATGATGTCAGTTCTACCTTACAACTCCGGCTAGACCAGAGGATGTACACTGGTACAGATAAGAACTGGAAACACAGGGACTCCAGAACAAATAAACCCTTCAGGACCAATAATTAGATTAATGATACCAAGCGGGAAAGGGGGAGATGGGGGAGAAAGGGGGCACCAATCACAAGGATCTACATATAACCCCCTCCCTGGGGGTCAGACAATGGAAAAGTAGGTGAAGGGAGATGTCAGACAGTATAAGATATGACAAAATAATAATAATTTCTAAATTATCAAGGGTTCATGAAGGAGGGACTGGGAGGGAGGGGGAAAATGAGGAGCTGATAACAAGGGCTCAAGTAGAAAATGTTTTGAGAATGATGAAGGCAACAAATGTACAAATATGCTTGACACAATGGATGCATGTGTGGATTGTGATAAAGGTTGCATGAGCCCCAATAAAATGATTTTTAAAAAAGAAGGAAATTTACATACTAAAAAAAATCAAGCCAAACCAATCATGCTAGATTCAAATAGTAATAATATGTTATTGTCTTTCCAGTGAAGGGCAGTGCTGGATTTTCAGTGTTCTCAGTGGATATTGCTCTCAATGCTTCTCCTCTCCCGAGAAGCTTCCTCAGAGCACCACACACTGTCTGCTCTAGCTATTTCTCACTATCCAAGAAGAGTTTTATAAAAACTGTAAAGTGTTACATATATGCCGTTTGCATTTATAAATTTCTTATTGCCTCGTATAGGATGCCTATTCGTTGAGGAGCTTAATCTAACCTGCTTGGATCTAAATACATCTCTTCCCTCCCACCCCACCCCCAGCTCCAGCTCCATATTTTCTGACTTGGGAAATGGCACCACCTGTTGCCCAATTCAAGAATGTGGAAGTCTTAGCTCAGGAAAACAATGAATATTACCCTTCAGTACAATGCACCTTAAAATGTGTGCATAAGTAAATGTGGTAAAGAAAACTGATGGTGCCGGGCTATCAAAAGATGTAGTGTTTGGGGTCTTAAGGGCTTGAAGATAAACAAGCAGCCATCTAGCGCAGAAACAACAAAGCCCACATGGAAGAAGCACACCAGCCTGTGTGACCACGAGGTGT